TTTCATTGTGCGCACATAAATGTTGCGACTTCTAACTTGACTTGTGTCGTCAATTTGCTTGTGACATAATTTTTCGGTGCCCGCGCGGTTACACTTGATTTGTTTGAGGTTAAACTTTTGACATTAAACTCACCTCCCTCTTCTCTCGTTTCCAGACATTTGACATGACATTGTCAGAAAAAGTTATGTGGCAATGCGTTTGTTGACATGTAGTAGGAGAATATTTTCAATTTTTATGATTTATATACTTTGCAGAGGTGAAAATAACAGTGGTAAGGTATATACATAGAAAGGGTTAGAGGTGAGCGTTAATTTGAAAATATGTGGAAAGAGGAAAAACAGTTCGTGAAGTCGTAAAAACAGGTAAAAATGAATGCAAATTTTTTTCTGCTAGTTTGTAAACCCCTGACACACTTGAAATTTTTTTGTAAAACCTCCGCTGGATGTTCTGCGTCTGAAAAAGTGTGGAACGTGAGTAGATCGCATGTGGCTCATATGTGGAGTGTAACTATTATGGTTTAAAAGTGACAAGTGGACATAATTTTTATATGAACTTGTGCAAAAATGGCAAAAATTTAGCGTGTATTGCATCTATGCTAGTTATGTTAGCTATCTTTTCTTAGTTGAATAATTTGATCCATAAGTTAATGTTGATTTTATGTGGATCATAAGTTGAATAAATCGTTTTCAGTCTGAAAAATAATAATTTTAAATTAAATATAGTAGATATATACTGCAAAAATGCTGTGGATCATATGTGGAACATAAACAACAAGCAAACAAATCTGCTAGGAAATATTGTTACGGCGTCTTAAATGGATAATAAACAATAAAAATAAGTAGACCATATCCTTTATGATTAATTCACAGTGGTTAAACTATTTTTGAACGCTCATTCGTATTTTTATGCGGACATCGTTGGTTTCATAGGCTACGTCCTTACGTAAGATGTAAATTCATATTCTGGAAAATTGTGTTTTGTTCAAAGTAATTTTTTTAGTTATTCGTAATTAGTAAGTTTTTTGAAGCTTCTTTTTTTTAAGAATTTTTAGTTTAGTCGGTTAAATTAACATTTCATGTTTTAAAAACTTTTGTCCTATATACGATCCACATGATGTTATTATGTGTTATGGCTCCAAGGCACATAATCAACAAGATTAGCGAATTTCCGACATATGTTGCAAGTTCCACATATAATCCACATACGATCTACATATGTTCCACGACAAAAATGTTATCAATAATAAAAAATTTTTGTTATAAATAAAAGTTGTGTTTAAGAGAAACAATGTTTTTTTTGATGAATAATTAAAAATAATAATTGAAGATAAAAAATTGCGACTCTACGCCCAGTATTTTATTGTTTTTTAAAATTTTCTTGTAAATTTTAAGGTTACTATATTCTTTAATGTACTTTTCGAAATTGCACTTATATTCACGCTACCGCTGGGATTCTCAGTAGTAAAAGCTGGCAATAAATGTTTGATAAGCCATCAGTTGTTGCAAGTACCATTTACTAGGTATTCGTATGTGTGTATATATGTTCCGGAACAGCCATAAAAATCGAATAACAACAAGAAAACTAACAAAAGTTACAGTCTGCACTCCCCTCTCAGCAGCAACAGCACTGCAATTGACACTTCACTTTTGGGTTGTGTGACAAATTGCAACATCATAAACGACTGAGCGGACGTAGCTCACTCACCCTGAAGTGACCAGGGGTCATCCGTTAGCTGACCCTCACACACACACACACACACACACACACACACACACACACATGCACACATGCACACGTAGTCAATCAACTACTGACCATCACAGCGGCTGTATGGAGCTATTAATGTTTCTGCAGCCGCTGCTGCTGCCAAGCTGGTATGGCTAGTGTAGCTGATGTTGCATGTGGCATGTGACACATGTGCCTCGCTACAAATTCGGCTAACTTCCATTAATTCGTTGGGGGTGGCAATGATAATCGTACGAGCCGAGGGACCTCATCGATTTTAGTTTGATTGTCTGCGGCTGTCAATTTCCAAAAATTATAAAAGCAATTTATTGCATAAGAGCGAGGCAGAGCACAGTTACATACATGTAGGTTGAGTTTAGTGTGGCGGGAAGTAAGGTTAGCCGTTTTAGCGGATATGCGAATGCACTTTAGTTGATAAAGTTATCAAAACAAAGTGAAGTCAACAACAAAGGACATACAGACATAAATAAATGGCATTGGATGTCGTGGTGGTAATTACGAATGGATGTGCAATGGAGTGGCAAAGCGCAGGGTGTGAGAGCGGATAGGTTATGCTAGTCGTTCCTTAAATGTATTGCATTTAATTTAATTTTATTTTTGTAAGTCAAATTGTAGCATTATCCACTTATACCCATTGTTAGCTCTTATTTATGATAGAATGTCCAGTTGGATGCATGGGAAATGCTGAGAATTGATTTCTTAGAAATAATGTTAGCATTTAAGAAATTTTTATTTACAAATTTTTTTAATTTACATATTTTAACTTACGGTCCACATGTTGTTCACTTTTAATTTCAGAAATTTATTCGCACGAAAATTGAGATATACTAACATGTTGTGATTTTATTGCATATTTAACAAGTTCCACATACGATCCACATACAATCCACACGATAGTTTTATAATTCGGTCTCACATACTAACAGTAAAAATAAATTAATAATTTTTTTTGCATATGTGATAGGTTCCATATACAATCCACAAACTTTCCCTAAAATACTCTCTGTAACATGATATTTTTCGAAGTTATTGTTTTTTGCCTGAGCTTGGAGATTTAGAGGGTATCCATACCATTCTATCGGAGTTTTGTTGCAGCTGCAGCCTGTAGGGGTGCAGAGGAAAAACAGCCTGACTACTAAATCCCTCATCTTTATAATAATTAAAGTAGAAAATTTGACGCAATTAGTGCAACTATGTTATTGGGTTGCTATGTAGCTGTGTAGCTAGCATCCCAATTAGTTCTACGCTCGTTTAAGTAAAACATTTGGCGTGGAACGTATATGGATTGTATGTGGAGCTTGACTATTTTGCGTCATAAGTAGTTAAATCGGGTAGAGAATTTATTTTGAAGTTAAAAATGTATAAATTATATGTGGATCACAAGTGGAACGTATGCAAAGCACGAAGAAATTGGCTAAAAAAGTTATTGCAGGCATTAACTACTAGAACTGCATTATAATCGTATTATAATAGCCAAATAAGCCATATTTTGAAGATCATATGTATAATATTTTACATACGTATGTATACATGTACATACATATGTTTTATACTCGTTTATATCTTACCATTTTCAAGCTCTTTTTCATGTCACAATTTTTCCAAATAAAATCATCGCTGTATTTTTTTTTCATTTTTAATTAATTAATGCTTCATATAGAAGTGTCTTTATTACTAATCAATATGCAATTTTTATATATATTTTTTATATATATGTATATAATTTTTATTTTATTTTAAATTTGTTATGTATAAATTTAATTGTAACTATGTACATAAATGTGAAGTTTTTATATATATAATATTTATATGTATTTATATGCAATTAAATTAGTATTTATATGTACATATATGTTAATAGTTATTTATACATACATACACATATGCTTTTTAATATTTTTTGCTCTTAAATTAAATTCACTGCGTTTTGTTTTTTTTTGCATTATTTTACACAAACTTTTTTGGAATTTTTATGTTTTTTTTTTGTTATTTTATATCTATTTATATATATTTTTTAGGAATATATAAATATAAGCACTATAAATTTTAGATATAGTTGTTGTTGTTAATATGGATTTTTTTTACATTTACATTGCTGAGAAATATATTTTGTTTAGTGTAGCAATATTTTAATTTAATTTTAATTTTTAAATTTTTTTTTTATATTTTCTCTACAACACTCCTACATATCTCCTCTGATGATTATTTTATGTTAATTATTTTAATTTTTTAGTTGCTTTTCTGAGTTGTTACTATTCTTTTTGCAGCGCGAGTGTTTTAGAAATTTGCTTAATTGCTGTTTTTTACAATTTTTTTTCGAATGTTTATATATTTTTAAATTTTTTTTTTCAAAAATTTTTAAATTTTTTTTTTAATTTTAACTAATAAATTTTAAATAATTTTTTTTTTACATTTTTCAACACTAAATATTGATAATGTTTTCTTAATTTTTTTTTTTAAATTTATTCTGCACTCAAAAATCTTTAACAGCAGAACTTAAACAAAAATTTGTATTTTTATTTGCTTTTTATTCTTTTTCAGTGCATTAATTAACTATAATTAATATTGCTTTCCCATTTTGTTTGAAATATGTTTTCTTTATTGATGTTTTGCTGCACTTTTGTTGCTTTAAAATATTTTACTTATATTTTTTACATACTTTTTCTTACTTAATTTAATATTTTTTTAACTAAAAAAACTCATAATAAAACAATTACTACAATTAATTGAGGAACATATTTAACTGTTACAAAAACAAATCTTATTTATTTTTTCTTTTTAACAATTTAAATTAAATAATACAAACGCATGCGTCTTTTAATTTACAGTTTTCTTTTATTTATTACATACATATATATTATTATTATTATTATTATTATTATTATTTTACACACAAAGACATTTTTTTAATTTGTTTACAGTTTTTTTAATCTATTTAAATTATAATACTCTGAGCGTGAAATGTTTAAAGCCACGCCCTAGCCGCCTTAAGCTACTTGGGCATTTTGTTTACTGTTAGGCAAGTCACTTGCATTTGAGGCTAAGGATTTTCTTTGTTTTAATATACAATAATATGTTTATTTTATGTTTCACAGTGTACAGTGTAGTAGAATTGCAGTAAAGGAGGATAAAATTTATTTTTTTTACAGTTGTTTATACATACAAATGTACTTCTAAGTGGAAATATCTAAACTTTTAGTAGCATTTACAAGTGTTATTAGAGAAAAATTATATATATATATATTTGCTTTTGTTTTTTCACTGAAAGTAACTCTTTGGTTTGAAAACTTAAGAGATTAATTAAATTTAAAAATATTTATAGAAATAGAAATCAAAAGAGTATATTAAATTTAGTATTATAATATAGGGTATTTCATTTGCGTATGCGCCAAGTATAGAGCGCTAATGAAATTTGCCTGAAACTGCATTTAATTAAAGTGCAAGTGTATCTTATGGCGTGGTATGATTTTTTTTATGTGGAACGTATGTGGATCGCTTGTTGAAGTCAGCGACTTTTTGTGGAAAATATTTTTTTCACATAGATAAATCATTTTAAAGTTAAGAAAGAAAAAATTCATAAATTTTAAATGTGGAGCGTATGTGGAACTTTGGTCAATTTGTAAAAAAAAAGTGTAATTAGTGTAGAGAACTTAAATTTAAATCAATAAGCAAAAAATTGCAAGCGGATTTTATGTGAATCGCATGTGGATATTATGTGGATCGCATGTGGAACTTAGGTAATTTTGAGTGTAAGTTATAAGCAATTCATTCTAAGTTAATGTTGTAAAACTTACATGCGGACCGTGTCTGCAAAGTAAAAAAAAGTTGAAAAAAGTTCTCATAGATCTGATTGAAAATGTTTAGACAAATTAAAACCTAAATAAATTGTAGCAGAAAATGTTTGTCTAAGACAAAAATGCAAGTGTTCAAAAGGATAAAATTCTTAGCCCGTCACTGCACCGGCGCATTACCATAATGAATATTTACTTTCAAATAATGAAATTCCATGTGTGGATTATATGTGGAACATAAATTTAATTGCTATATCATATGCGAAGCTTATTATGCTACTTAAGCTAGTTTTTTTGCAACGGTTTACTATATACACACCCGAGATAACATAATGTACATTCGCGTTGCAGCAAAGACTTACGATCCACAGGCGCACGAGGACGAAGCAGAATTCGCACACAATTGACATATTCGAAAGCAGCATATCACATAAGGCTGCTCCACATTTCTCGGCTCCATAGGCAACGCGCACAGCACATACATGCAGGCTACTGTGCCGGCTTCGGATCCAGCCCACTGCTCCGGCTACTACGCAAGCCCACTAAAGCAAGAGGAAAACTTGCTCTTGCGGTCACACATCGTCGAGATCGATGACAGACGAACGGTCGTTATCGTCCCGATCAAATAAATGTCACTGATCCATTTGCGTTGGCGTCTTGCGCTGCAACTCCTCCAAGGCGCCACTTACCAGCGCGCCAATACCAATACCCATACCGCCTACACCGCCACTCGCACCACTCCCGTTATGATGCACTTCCAAGCCGTTAACCATTTTCTCGATACTCTTTAGCTCGGATGGAGAGTTTTGACGCTTCAACAGTGATGGTGGCGTTGTGGGCGACATGGAAATCGGTCGTGTAGGTGGCGAGTTAGATGAGGCACGTGGTCGTGGACTGGAACTTAAACTGCGCGGTCCATTTTCTATACTACTTCCCGGTCCGCTACTGCCGGGACCCAGCGTAGAGGCATCACCCGCACCTGGCGGACCGCCAACACGATTCGCATTTGAGCCGGGCGTGACGGCATCAAAGGCGGAGCCTAAACTCCCGGGCAGGCTGTACGGCGAAAAACGATGTCCCTTCAGACCTTGCAGCGGCGAGACGGGCGTATGTCCTGAGTAGTGTCCGAATAAGGCGGGATGTTGTGCGGCTAACGCTAGCTGCGCATTGAAGAGTAAACCCGGATTGAGACTGGCCGGATTCATGGCGGCAGCCGCTGCTGCTGGATTGTGCAGCAGTCCGAGATGTGGCGGCGGGTATAGGCCATGTGGATAGAGGTAAGGCAACAGATGCGGCGATGGGTGAATCGGTGGTCCCACTGAGATATTCGGTGATGGATATGCGCCAGTTGCATTCAGACCACCAGCGGCGCCCTCTTTCGGACTACCCGACGAGGTGGGTCGGAAAGCGCCGCCCGTACTACCGCCCACACTCTCCGAACAACTCGAATCGCTGCCATCACGTTCCACATCGTCCGACTGGAGGCGACGACGTAATGCTTCTTCATTCGCATGATCACCAGCGCCGGCCAAGTGGTTGAACCAGGCTGCAAGGGCTTTAAATTGGTTAGAAAAATGGAATAGATTAAAATAAATAAACAAAAAAGATGCGGTAATGTGGAAATGAAATATATGTAGATGTGTGAGCTGAGGCGTGCAAGCGCAACAAACTCAAAAAATTTGAGGGGGGAGACGAGGGCAAAGGTCTTCTGTTTCCATTAGAGCTCTGCTTATCTCCTCACCCCTCTGCAAGTGGATTAACTAAACTCTCGTTAGACCTACCGGATTGCTGATGCGCATGCATCTGCTGCAACGAATGACTCAAAGGCAATAGTGGGCTTTGCGGCGGTCCGACCACATCCAATAGTTTATCCTCATCGTCCGCTTGATTGTCGTGTAAGCTCGCATGCGGCAGCATGTGATGCGGTGGTCGTCCTGTGTGGCCCAAATGTAGTGGCGCACGTGAGCTGCTTACATGTGTAGGATTGAGTTTGTCCGAATCGGACCCGCGATTCGACATGAGCGCTTGCCTGTAACAACAGTTGGGAAAATGGCAAAAGACTAATTAGAATATCCAAGTACAAGTGGATTGAGTTATAACACATAGAGCTGAGGTAGAATTTTGTAGAAATACAGTGATTGAATATGTTAGCGTTTAGACAGTGGCGATGAACTGACCTTCTCATAGATGGTGAGAGTAGACTGCGACTATAGAATGATAAAACTTAATAGTGGGGGGAGAATCCTAGCATAATCGGAAACCTGGTGCACAAACTCTTTAAGGTCCTCTCAAGCGGCTTTCTTAAAATCAGGTAACTAAGTTCCGTACTATCACCGAATATGACTTTCGGAATCTAATATTTTGCATATGGTTATTTTCTAGCGAGTTTTCTACATAGGCTGCCAAGTTTTGGTGAGCACATCGAGTTACAATTCCACTGTTTTCACTTTTTCCTTAGCGTTTCCAAATATTTTGCGTGGACGAGCTGGAACCTAGCGGTTAGTACTCCATTATCATGTCTGATGAGGACAAGAACAACTTATCCTTATTGGAAGCCGTTTTACTGCTTCTAAATACCAAATTAACTTTACACTCTTTGAGTTTTCACGGCGCATAAGGGAGTTTAGTTTAGCCCGATGTATTCACTCAGATCTCCAGCCTTTCGAAATAACGAGTCTCTACAGAAACTTCATGTCAAATACGCTCAGACTCCGTTGGACTCGGACTACTTTTTTGATGGTTTGAACAGATGGACGGATGTACGGACAAAGGGCTGTTCGCCAGGTTTCTGTCTTTTCGTCCACTCGCAACGCGGTTCGAATGACATAATAGAAAGAATTTATTTCCCCTGCTTGACGCTACCTAGTTCAGTAAGTGCTCTGAGCGTCTTCAAAATCGAAATTTTTCCTCTTTCCAGACTCTTCCTTGAAACTAATTGGAGCTTCGCTATGTATATTAAGCTGAAGTTTCCATGCGGAATCAACTTGTTCTCATAAAGTTTCCATCTAAAACCACTAAGACCGAAGACCGTGACCAACCAAGAGTGCTGAATTTATCCCTGGAAGATACCTGTTCGCCTCCGGAGCTGTACTTTATAGGTAAAAACCAGCGGCGAGACCTTTGACCGTGTATTTTCAAGATAGTAACTGACTCAAGCAAATTATTTCACCAGCTGACTTGGAGCAGGCTAGCGAAGAGCTTCCTATTGTAGTAAATCTCATGTAGCACCGAAATTAAGGTTAGATTAGGTTTGTCGATGGCTGACTTTGTGACAATTTAAACAGAAGATTATTGAAGATATGACAGCCGTAGTCCCAGAGACTTGTGGTAGCGAAGGGAGAGGATGATGGAAGAGACAATCGAAGAGCTAATTTTGAGAGGACTCCAACTGTAATTTGGATCAGGGTGGTTGGCTTTAACTGATGTACGAATTCTGACTCATAGTTCTTTTGGAGTGTGGACTCTTTCTCCCACACTCTTCGCGTATTGGACCGAAAAAAACGATTTCTGTTTCCCAGGTGCTCAGTACTAGTGGCTTGGGACAAAGGTGGAATTGTTTTTTTCTTTTATTATAAGCGCTTTTGATACACTCTAATCCTCACCAGCAAACTTGTGTCGGTAATTAGTTGGCATTATACGGAAACAACAAAAATAATCCATTAACCACAATCAATTGCTTGCTGTCGCTGAAACAGTTAAGCTCTCCCACCAACGGCAGCGAGCTTATCAAGTCACCGACACTACTCTGGGTTTGAAAAGTGTTGAAAACAATGTGCGGTAGTCAAGTGGATGGCATTATATTCGGTTTCAAAGTACACAAAGTGGAGATTGTGAATGCTGAAACAAAAATGAGCGCTGAGCGAGGAAGAGGAAAGGGAATTTGGTGTGAGAAAAAAAGGGTTAAACGACTTAGACCAAAAAGGATGGGCATCTTTGATGGCGCTACACTTAGTTATGACAAATTTTTATAGCTGCGCGGGGGAGAGAGAGAGGGAGAGCAAAGAGAGGGAGGCAGAGTGAAAGCTCTAAAAAGGGCTGGAAGAGTTGAAACGTTTGACAAATCTTTATTTATTTTATGAGAGGCTATTAGAAGCGGAGGGTTTTGATTACTATTTTTAGGCACAATTTTTATATTTTTATTTCTCTTTTTATTTTTATTGTTGCCTTTGGTTTGTACAAGTTTTTTTTTTTTGGTATATCAAGTGTACTTCAGAGATCTCTCACATCCTCTTGCCGATTTATTTGCCCTTACAATACAAATAAGACGCATTAAATTGTCGCACATCGACGTGATGCGTCGTGGCGTGGAGTGGTGTGGCGTGGCAACATGCTGCTTTTGTTGTTGCCACAAATAAAAACATTAAAAGACATTAGTAATCAGGGATAAATGTTACAAATACGAACAATAAGGGCAATTTCGAAATTACATTTGTATGAACATACAAACAAATACAACAAATATGTATGTATGATTTATACGTTTATGAAAATCGGACAAATTCATTAGTGTTCAACGAAAATCCGGAGAAAGGGAAAAGGTTTTGACAGTTAGACAAAAATTGGGGTGACTTTCCAACGGCAGACAGTAGGCAATGGTGTACAATAATAATAATAATGATGTTGATCATCATGTTATTAGCCTTAATGAGCTTCATATTTATGATGATGATGAGCGCAAAGCATCTTTGTTGTTAGTTGGTCATAGAAATACTGGTGTTGGTTACGGAGTAACCCTTTTGAGCCTTTGAGCTGCATGAATTTCTTCGTATGTTTTATGTTCTACATATGTATGTCTCTGAAAATCTATATAAATGTAGGGTTTTTTTCTGCACAACGCATTAACTCTAAAAATATTTTCAGATTTTTATCGCCACTTAAGCGACGGGTGTCAAATAATTGCAGCAGCCAACAACGCAGACATTAATTATTGCGGTTGGCGGCGGAAGTTAAGTGCGGCGGGCGCTTAGTGAGTGACAGTATTCAAATGATGCCATGGAAAACGGAAACGGAAAGTGAAAATATTTTAGCAATTAAGAAAATTGTGTTAACTAAGTTTAAGAAATAAAGTTGCTGAGCTTTTAATATGAATATTTTATTTTTCACTTTTTTCTAACTTAATTTACGTGATTTTATTTTGTTTGATTTAATTTTATTTAATTTTTTTATTTCATATACATTTTTTATTTAATTCAATTTTTCTTAATTTTATTTTATTTACTATTCATATATTTTTTTAATTTTATATTTTCTATTTTAATTATATTTTATATTATATTATTTTACACCATTTTTTAATTTCTCTTACTTTATTATATCATGTTATATTTTATTTAAATATATTTTTATTTAACTTATTTTATTTTACCTTAATTAGTTTAGATTTTAAGATTTTATTTTACTTTGTTTTATTTGGTTTTATTAGATTAGATTTTATTACGTTTTATTTTAATTTATTTTAGCTGGTTTTATTAGATTTTTATTTATTTTTTTATTTCATTTTGGTTTTTGTTTTAAATATTTTTTTTTTAGTTTTTCTTCATTTTATTTTATTTTAATTAGCTGTTTTATTAAATTTTTTTTATATTTTCTGTTTATTTAAATTTATTTTGTTATATTATTGTACGTTATTTTTTATGTTATTTTACTTAGTTTAACTTCAGTTTTTAGATTTTGTTTTACTTTGTTATATTTTGTTTTATATTATTTTAAATTATTTTACCTCTTTTATAAAATTTTTTATTTTTTATTACTTCATTTCATTATGTTTTGTGTTTTTTTAATATATTATAAAATTTTTGATTTCATATTTCTTTACACAATTATTTTAATAAATTTTATTGTGCTTTAGTTTACTTTATTTTATTTGTTTTTATTATTTTTTTTTTTTATTTTTGTTTTTTTTAATCATTTTATTTATTTAGTTTTACTTCATTTCATTTTAGTTAGTTTTATTTGGTATTTTTAACTTTGTTTCTTATTTTTTTAAATTTTATTTTGTTATATTATATTTTATTTTATATTACTTTTTATTTCATGTTACTTTATTTTATTTTAAATTATTTTGTTTTAGCCTATGTTAGTTTAGTTTTTTTATATTATTCTATCTTAATTTATTTTACAATAATTAAATTTATTTTACTTTATTTTATTATGCCATTTTTTATAATTGTCTTATTTGAATTTATGTTATTTTAGTTTAGTATATTTTATTCTATTTTATTTTTTTTTTATTTTAATTTATTTAATTTTCTTTATTTTATGTGGTGTTATAAGATTTATTTAAATATCTTTAATTGTTTTGTGTTATTTCATAATTTATTTAATGGTTTAGTTTAAATACTTTTATTTGATTTTTTAAATATGATTCCTTTTTTTTATTTTGTTATATACAATATATAATGTTATATTCTATTTTATTTTATGTTCTTTTTTATTTTCCTTTTTTATTTTAGATTATTTTATTTTATTTTTGCGTATTTTATTTTAATTTAATTTTTATTTAATAGATAGATTTTAATTTAAATAATTTTTTTTACATTTTTTATTTTAAATAATTTGATTTAATTTTTTGTAACTTTATTTTATTCATTTTTTTCATTTTATTTATTTTTTTCTTTATTTTTTCTTATTTTTATTAATTTAATTTTAATTAAACTAAGGTATTTTATTTTATTATTATTTGTTCAATTCTATTTTCTTTTATTCGATTTAATTTAATTTAGTTTTATTTGATTTTGCTTTATCTCCTTATATTACTTAATTAAATTTTTTTTTTAATTTTTTGTGTTAATTTATTCTTTTTATTTAATTTATTTTACTATATTAATTTGTTTTATTTCGATGCATTTAATTTAATTTCCTTTTTCTTCTTCTTTTGTTTCACTTTATATTTCTTTTAATATTATTATATTTGGAGTATGATTAGAATTTCGATTTATCTTCGATTTATTTTGCAATTAGTTACTCAAAGAAAATTTCGAAACTTAATGCAAATATTTAAACATATGTGCCATACTGAAAAAATTCACACACTAGCTC